CCCAAACAAGTTTCTTAATCCCAAACTACAGCATTTTCCGCCGCCTAGGTCAATGTACAACGTTTGGTAAACACTGGACCTGAACCCAGGACCCCTTTCAATCCCCCCTCACATCCATTAGGGTCAGCAGGCCTTAAGTCAAAGGTTCCTGGGCCGACTTCAATGAGAGTTGAACGCCTGCGACTAAAAAAAACACCAGAAAACTGGCTTTTACCCAGAGGTAAATGCCTCTCTTTGCAGCCATATTTTACACATGAAAGTTCAGCCTCAAAAAAAAAAAGAAGTGAAGAAAAACAGGCAAAAGGTCCAGGACAAAAAACACATTGTACATAAATAATGTTCCACCGCACACTTACTCACACGCCCTGTACTCTGGCACTTTGACTAAATGGTGTGTAATAAAATTTAAATTGCTTTTGTCTGGATTTTTCCTTAGTATTGCCATTAAAGTTGCCTCTTTTTCCACAGGAATTTCCTTAACTAAGTAGGACAACAGGACACTAGGGTGGTTCGTGTGGAGTTTTAAATTAAATATTTGTTAAGGTCTTGAGCGGATTTTTTTTACAGAAATAAATATTTAAAATTGAAGAGCTAAAAGGTATTTTGTAGTAAATAAAAAAAGAAATTATTTTTAATTTAAAAATAAATATTTTTGAACTTTAAACATTAGTTTTGACCAGGGTAATATATTAGTTTTTTAGCAATATCCATTTTTCTACATTAATTACATAAAACAGCATAGAAATCATTAAATAATTTTTAGGAATGTAAATTAAATATTTAGTAAATGTTTAGAAAATATTTATGTAAAAAAAAGGTGTAATTTTTACTGTATAAATATATAAATAAAATAAAATAAAAATAAAATAAATAAAAAGTTTTATTAATTATATAATAAAGAAACTTTAAATAGTATAGTTTATGTTTAAAGTTTTCTTTTCATAAAACTAATATATAACTTTATAAGTACGCACTCACTTTGCGGATAATCCCTTTCAAAATTTCTCAATTAAATCGAACCACCCTCGTATGGCCCACACACACTCACTCCGACAGTTATAACAATTGCCCAAATTGCGGCTAATTAAATATGATTTAGCTTGGCTAGTGCAAACGTAACGTCTGTCCCCTTGGCTGAGCTGTCAATATTTGTCAGGAAGCGGGCGATAAAGCGGCCGTGTCCTTACGCTCTCACACAGACAGAGAGACGTGTCTCTGGTCCTGGCCCTGACCCCTGACATTAGACCCGTACATGAAACTGGCCTCGGGCCACAAAATTTGTTTATAATTCAAATACCAGAAAAAGAACAAAAAAAAAACATCGTCGAACTATGCAACAGTACAATTTTTGTGTGGAATTGTACAAAAAAAAAATAGTTAAAACGAGGCAAAAAAAACACGTTAAGCAAACACGATAACGATACTATATAGATATGATGAGAAGGGAGTTAGGAGCAAGGACAACAAGGACACACCAGCCAAAGCACAAGCAGGCAAATTTATTTCAATTTAAAAATTTTGGTCACGCTCAAACACAAAAAGCGAGTTAAGCAAGTGGGCGGTAGGTGGCGACCGTGGTAGTGCTGGCGACAACTTTGGGATTCGGAGGAACTCGGGGCAACTGCTGCCATTTGTATAATTGCTGTCGTGATGGAGGAGCAGAACACAGCTCCGTTGAAGTCCTGTCTCCCCTTTTGGCCTCCCTCCCCGCGAAGACGAACAGCTTATGCCATGACACGCTCCAAGGACGCTTGACAGCAAATGGATAAGGACATTATCATCTATGGACAGGGGGGCTCCATGCAAAAAAAAAAAAATATGGAAAGCGGCACAATATGAAAACTAGCCAGAGCGAGGCTAACCGGAGGCTAGGATGTTATTGAAAATTGAGATGAGCATTGGCAGCTAGGAAGGTCGACAGGGATATGGATTTATGACGGAATGAAAAGTATTATTAAGTGCAAAAGTGGATCTACCTATTAAAGTTACAGAAATATTAATTTATAAACATAAACATATAATTTAAGTTAAAAACCAGCCATGTAAAAGATTAGGAACGCTTAGCTGTATACTATGAGAAGCGCAGAGAAAGGCACCCGTGGAGTTGAGAGAGAGAGAGAGAGCGAGAGAGGGAGAGCGCGTGGTGCCTTTCTATGCGCTTCTCATAACAGGCACCTAAGCACAAGTTTGCCATAGCCATTCCCTTTGAAAAAGAGGCTACCTTTGCAAATGCAATTGGATCAATAAGAATTGATCAAGTTTGATCAAATAATAAGAAACTTTCCTATAGCTTTCCCCGTGATTTCATTTTAACTCAAAGAAATATCGCCTCACGCTCTCATCACTCCCAGAATATTTATGCAGAAAGGCAACCAACCAAGCGACGATTTATGTCTGGGAATTAGTTGATATGCATTTTCGATTCAAAATCGCAGACGGCTGAGTTGAGTGGCGACAAGGCTATATAGTATATATATCTTCCCAGCACTGGACTGTCCGGCGGGGCCTTGACAATGGCAATGAGAGCGCCCGGGCCGGGACTGGACTCGTGTTGACATCGATTGACAAGGTGTGTGTGTGGTGTGTGTGGCAAACGAAGGCCACCGCAACAGCAAAAAGCAAAAACTTTTTTCTGGCCAGTCCGAGTTCAAGTCTGGGAAACACACAAAAAAGAACACAACAACAAGAAAGTGAAATAAAACGTGAATGTCGTTAAGTTGAGGTAACCCACGTGTTGTCCTTCGCCCGAACGTTGGATATGTGCAACAAGCAATCAGCCAGGTGTGGGGCTGGGAATCGACCCAGGTGTGTGATATATGTACATAGTAGTAAAAGTATCGCTAGTATTTACTATATATATGTGAATATGTGGTCAGTTTGTTGTGGCTGGAAAACTAAAAGAGCGCTTAAAAGTGGTCAGTGTGGAGAGGCTAGCTAAAGTTTTTGGCAACCTTAGAGGCAATCAAGGAAATTGGTCAAGAAAATAAAAGTATTTAAAGACGTAACAATATTTTTCGTAAGGGTTCTTAAGCATCTCAATAAGCACCAAGTTTTAAAAAAATGAATAATATTTCCTTGAATACTTGTAAGTACTTATTTAATTCTTTTTTATTTTAAATTAACATCTCTATATTTTTTCATGGATTGTTTAATCCAACAAAAAACTTTAAACTTTAAATGTCATTCCTCTTAGTTCCACACTCCATTGTCATGTTAATCGCCTATAATTATATTATCAACAGTTAATCCCGGAACCAACAAAGTTAGGCTTAAATTTCCAGCATAAATACAAGCAAAAATAAAATCCAGCTTAAAATAAAGCCCGATGAGAATTTATAAGCCCTTAATAAATCAGAGCGCAATAAATTAAATATACTAGTAATGCCATTGAAATTAAGAAGTAAACACTAAATTATTGGTCACTAGGGACACTTACCAGCACTTGAGATTGTCAACAACATCCATTAGGCAAACTTAATTCAAAGTAACGAATTAAATTGCTCAAACTAATTATTGGACCAAAGAAAGGGGGAACCAAAGGCGTGCGTCTTTGGGGGGGGAACCTACGGATTCGGATGCGGATCCTTGTCCGTGTCCGTGTCCATGTCTGGGCGACTGATTTATGCTCGCAGGCGTCGCAAAAGCATTTATCCATCCATGGCACCAAAACCACCAGGACGAGCACGAGTATATATCCTTCAACTTGACCACCATGAATGTTTGTTTGGGAAGGAAGGTTCTGTTCTTCATATTGCGGTTTTTGTACAATCTATGGGTGTGTGTTGGACCTGGTGTGTGTATGTGTAAAATGTCCTTGTCAAACACTAATGGCGTCGTTGCCATTGCCATTGTCCTTGCCTGCGTGTTAATGTGCGACAGTTTCCTGCCAAGCTAAAATCGAATTCTAAAGAAGCTTTTACTAAATAAAAAAATTCAGCTGTTTGTTTATACGAATTTTTTTACGAGGTGAAGCAATTGAAATATGTTTCCGGCGTATGTCCGTTGGAAAATGAATTGAAAGCCAGTACATCTGCGGCGCTCGCATGAGATCTCTGGGGGTCAAGTGAATACTCTTTTGCTGCATTTGTTCTCAACTCCTTGATTTATAACCTTTCCTCTTCATTTTCTTATTTTTATACCCTTGCAGGGTATTATAATTTCAGTCAGAAGTTTGCAACGCAGTGAAGGAGACCTTTCCGACCCTATAAAGTATATATATTCTTGATCAGTATCAACAGCCGAGTCGATCTAGCCATGTCCGTCTGTCCGTCTGTCCGTCTGTCCGTCTGTCCGTCCGTCCGTCCGTCCGTCCGTCCGTCCGTCTGTCCGTTTCTACGCAAACTAGTCCCTCAGTTTTAAAGCTATCTGAATGAAACTTTGCATATAGTCTTCTATATGCTCTCACTGCTATATATGTCGGAACGGGCCGGATCGGACGACTATATCATATAGCTGCCATACAAATGTTCGATATATTTCTAGAAAAAAATTTATAACTTTGCTGTTTTTCAACATTTTTGCACCATTTTTTAGATATGGCCATTCTATATTTTTTCAGAATTTTGGTAAAAATTTTATCAAAATCGGACGACTATATGATATAGCTGCCATAGGAACGGTCGAGAAATAAATAGGAAAAAAAATTATAGTTTCGTTGTTTTTCAACGTATGTTTATCTACTCTGAGATATAATATTTTTTTATTATTCTAGAATTATGGTATAAATTTCATAAAAATCGGACAACTATATCATATAGCTGCCATATAAACCGATCGGTAGATGTAGAGAAAATGTAAAACTGGGAATGTAAAACTGTAACTGTCAAACTGTAAACATAATAAGTATAGGTAAAATGTAATGAAACTCTGTTTTGTGAGTGTTTTCAGCATTTAAATCTATAATATAAACATCGAAACCAATCTGCAAGGGTATACAAACTTCGGCGTGCCGAAGTTAGCTTCCTTTCTTGTTTTTTTTTTGTATTGGTTTTTTCTTGCAGAATTTATGCCTGTGCAGTTTTCCATCGATTTTCGTCTTGCGCCACAACGGACTGGGGATGAAATACCAAACACATAAAACGGATTTGATATTAAAAAAATATGCAGGTAAAAATATATATAATATAAAGGAAATAAGGGTGGACTTTTTTAATTTTTTAATATAATAAAAAATATATTTTTATATATAATAAAAATTAAGTAATTAAATTACTGTGTTTACTACTATAAAATAATTGTTTTATATACAATTTATGCTTTTTAATCATTTTTGCTCAACAATTTATAAGAAACAAATATTTAATCAAGTAATTAGTGGGATTATTTAATGTTAAACATTTTTTTAAATATATTTTAGTATATTATTTAATGGACTATAATTAATTTAAATCTAGGTTTGCTACTATGAAATAATTATTTCTTTTAGACTTGAAGCTTATTTATAATTCTTTTTATAAAAATATTAATTAAGGTATTAAAGTCTTACCTGGTATATATTTATTTAAATTTCAATACGTTTTTGGATATATTAAAAAAAAATTTTAACTACAAATAATCATTATAAAGTTAACAAATAGTTGAAACTTGAAAATAAGCATTTATTTATTTTTAAATAATAATACAATTATTATAAAAAAATAAAATAAAATAAGAAAAACCTTCCTTTTGAAAATAAACCTATAGTGGAGGCTCAGAATTAACATACAATTTTTAAAAAACATTTATTTTTTAAAAGATAAAATTCAATATAGAAGAAATACACCCTTCTAACACTCCCTAAGACACTTATACTCCCATTTCAAATTCAATTCCGATCAAAGGACCACCCTAACAAGCACACACCGCAGAAGCACACCCAAAACACACACACACACTCAGCAATGCTGGCAATATGCTGCAAGGAAGCCACGACGAACACCAAATATCGTACTGAAAAACACACCACCGACAACGTGGCAAACAATGGCTTCCCAACCAACAACTGCGGCTTATCGGTAAATGCAACATGGCGTTGGCCAAGTCACGTCTCTGCCGCCGCCTCCGAGTCATTGTTGTTATGTAGTTGCCATTTGTTAACGAAAAACAACGGGACACACAAGCCTTTTATAATACAGAAGAGACACACACTCGTTCCGCTGACATGCATACCAAATTGTGAAGGGAAAAAAGCGAACACACACGGCAAGTGAGCCGCACTTTAAATTGGAAAAATAATGCGCGAAAAATTCGACAGCATCAACTCTCAACGAAGGCCGACGGCCATTCCGAACGCAAATATTTATTTGGCACCGCACGAAAATGTCAAAATCAATTGATTTCCATGCCCACACCCAGGCACAACCATACACAAAGGACCCACGCAGGAGCGTAAATTAAATTACGAGGCGACGCGTAATTGTTTGTGGTTAATTAATTTTGAAAAACGCAAACAGTTTGAACTTTTAAGCAGACTAAAAATTAAGAAAAATGTGTAGGTTCATAGGAAATGTATGGGAACATATAGGAATAAATCAGGCATACTTTAAATTTGATTCTTATATTTAAATATATTATTTATAAATTAAAAAGCTAACTAGAAGAGTTATTTATTGAAAGCTTGTACTTCGGTTTTGTTTTTAACAATTTAAAACTAAAAAATTAACTTAAAAGTGGCAGCCTTAGTTTGCCAAAAATTGTTTTAATACAAGTACTAAGCTCTTTTGTTTATTTGTTTAATTATAATTAATTAATTATTTATTGTAATATCCTAATCAAGTAAAACCATATAATCTAAAGTTTTTTCGGATTTTTTATTTTAATTTTAAGTTAAGCTTAATTAAAATAACTAATTAATTATTTAAACTAATAAATAATTAAACTAATAGGCTTACTACAACCCAAATTGTTATTACTCTTTCAGGAATATATAATACCCGTAAATAATAAAACAAACACCAATTAATGTCCACATTTTTGGAATTCTGCACAGTTTATAAACAACAATTCAAACAACACTAATTAGTGTAACAACACGCTTGTTTGCGTAAATATTTTCCTCAAGCAAAGCCAATTAGTATTTTTTCTTTATTTATTCAATTAATTGTTTTACTACTACTGGAAAAGTACAAGAGTTTATTAAAAGTTTCTATTATTATATGAAAATAGTATGCTATAGCAATCAAAACTCTTTGAATTTAAAATGAAATTTATTCTACTTTATGAACTTTGTTTATTAAAATTAAAATAAAATAAAAAGAAATATTATAAATAAAAAAATATTTTATATAATATTGATTGTATTTTTATTATATTTTCAAGGAATAATTATATCATATTTATTTTATTTATTTATTTATTTGAAGATATTAATTAAAATAAAATATATTAGGTTTTAATTTCATTTTTAAATTATTTAAAAAAAAACACCCTTTTCCATAATTTCACAGTGTACCTAAAAAATCAAACATTTCAAGCCAATAACCAACAGAAATACTATTAAAAAAAACCCCAAGCGAAATAACACATGTACACAGTTTTTTGTAAACATTCACATCCTTTTCCCACATCAAACCAACAACACTAATGAACCTCTAGACATCCCACGAAAAAGCCCAATTAATCAATCTGCGCTTGCACTTGTTTTTTTTGTTTTTGCAGAAACAAGAAAAAAGGCGCGAACTGCGCCTGAAGCGATTCTGGCGCTCCCCGAAGACCACATCCTCGGAGGACTCCACCGGCTATGAGAGTCCGACGCGAACGAAGGCGGCCAGCAGCGATGCCCAGCGCTTTAACCACCTGCACTATACCAGCCTTTCGCAGGGATCGGGCACCTCGTCCTCGGCGGGCGGAGCCAATGCGTCTGGGGCGGGGTCAGGAACAGCGGCTGGGCCGTCCGGCAACAACAAGCCCTCCTGCTCGCTGCCACTGTTGCAGGTGTGGCCCAGCCAGGTAGGCATTCATTTTTTATTTTTTGCCAACATTAAGTTGTTCGGGGGAAAACCACGTTCTAAAATTGGGTAAAAAAAAATTGTGTGGAAAATGTGTTATCAAAATAATTTAATCAGAATTCTAAGCAAACCTAAAGTATGCAAAACAAAACTGTGATTACAATGGACTTTAATTATTTGCTAAATACCTTTTATTCCTAAATTTAATTGTAATAATTTTTACAATTTTTTGCAAGCCAAAAATAAATTCTGACATCTTTAAACGTCTGTTAAAAATCTATTTAATTGCAAGATTCTGTTTATTATTAAATAAAAGCCTTAAGCTGTCTTAAAATATTTACACCAACAATTTCAACAACAACTCCACAGAAGAAAACCCTTGCATACTTTTGAGTTGCTTGGAAATTTATACATCAAAAGCAAGAAGAAAAGAAAGTCTTACTCAGTTTTTACATTTTAGAACGTGTACTTTTCCCCTTTAATTTTTGTGTGCCGTTAAAAACAAGGAAAATATTATGTTGTAGACAAAAAAATATGTGATTTTGGGAAAACAAATAAGAACCACAACAGTTTCGAAAGTGGAGGCCTTTTCGTTTTATATTTTCTTTTTGTTTATTTTGTGAAACCACTCCATTTGCGAGTCGCTTCTTCTGTGGCCAGTTGCGTTGTGCGTTTTTGCGTTAATTTGATTCTTCGACTCTCTATTTCTTCCCACTACACCGACACCAATGAATACCACCTAAACCAAACAATCACCACCCACTGCCACACCAACACCTCTGCCACACCATCACCAACACCACCACCACCAACACCACCCGCCTCAAAAACATACATATCCCTATTGTGTGTGCGTTGCGTGTTTGGTTCGGTTCGGTTTGGTTACGGTTATGGTTATGGTTATGGTTTTGGTTCTGGTTTCGGATTTGGTTTTGGATTTGGTTCTGGTGCTGGTACTATTTCTGGTACGGTACTGGTTCTGGTTCTGATTCTGGTTCGGTTCTGGTTTTGATAGCCGCTCCTGCGTCAGGAGGGCTTCGTACAGTTGCGTCGTAACAGCGGCCCCGAGGGCCAGCGGGTATGGTTCCATCCAGTTCCTCATCTCTTTATCCAGCCTCTCTATCTCTCTCTCTAGTCTTCTTCTAGTCTTTTTCTCACTCTCTCTTTATCTGAACATCTAGTGTATATCCCCAACTAAACTAAACTAAACTAGACTTTTTTGCATGCCTCGATTTCAAGTTGAAAATAAAAAAAAGCCCTCAGCGAGTGCCTAGCTCTCCAACTAATTTTTGACTACTAACTTGTACAAATCTGACCACAGTACCCAACTTTTTTGAGGTTATTTTGTGTACTCTACACGTGTTTTTTTACTCCTAGAACTCGTTGTTATTCATGTATTTTTATTGGGCATTTTTTTCGCTAAAAAAATATGGTTTTTTTTCCCCAGCACAATCGTGAGTGAGGGTTGGTTGACGAATGCCAAAGGAATTTTATGGTTTTGATTTGAAGTCCAGGCTCTAATTGAATATTTTTTAATTGTTAGACATTCTTTTAAGTGAAAACTATTTTTATATAATTTAATTAAAAAAATATAGAGTATTTAAAAGTAAAATAACAAATGTTATTTCCTTTTTGTGTGCTCAAATTAGAACACATTTTATATATATATTTTACACCAATTTCAAAAATGTGTCTAAAAGTATGCAATGATGTTTAAAACACAAATTTAATGTAAATTTTCAGTATATTTTAAGACAATTTAAAGTAGTTTCTATTAGAACTTTCCTTCATTTGTCGATCAGTCCTTGCTCAAAGCCACCCCGATTTCACCTTGTGTAAGTAAACACTACCAAGTCACCAGCCACATCCTGTATATAAACCCCAAAAGAAGATTTTTGTAAGCCACCTAACTAACCGTCTTCACCACTGAGATTTAACCACTCCACCCACCCCCCTCAAAAAAGCAGCGATTCCCACACTGCACTCGAGAACCAGCTTTAAAAGATTCCCCCAATCCCCTTATAACCCAAGACATTTACCTGGATGCTACCTATCTTATATATGTGATCTGGACTCTTGCAGGACTCTCCGCGCGGCGAGGCGGATGGCCAGTCCTTTGTATTCCCCGCCATTGTGGAGACGAGTGTCAGCAGTCCGGTCGAGGCCGGGGCTAGTGGCAGTGGCAGTATCGGGAGCACCAACCTGAGTCTGAATGCCCGGAGGAGCAACAATCACCTGAGCCTGTCCACGGACCGAAGGAGTTCTCTGTACTGTGATACCCTGCATGCCGGGGATTCGGGCATCGACTCGGTGCAGGCCTCGCCCTCGCCCAACGCCTTCATAGCACCGCCCGGAATTCATAATCTGCCGCTGGGTCAGACGGGCGGTGGCTCCTGCCATGTGTCACCGACAAGCACCCCGACGCAGGGTTCACCCAATCTATCGCTGGGGAGGCGGGGCATGAGAAACAGCATTTGTGTGGTGCCCAGTGGCAATGGAAGGAGAAAGTCGAGTGCTCTACTGCATCCAGATCATGCCAGACTGTTCGCCCTGCGAATGAAACATGCGGCCGCCTTGGAACGGGCCCAGACCTCGCCGGATCAGACCTCCATCGAGGATGCCAACGAGTTCCATGACAACGGACTGGCCACCAACCTGCGCCTGTGCTCGGCCTCGTCTTCGACGACGTCGTCGCTGACTTCCGTGGCCGCGGTCAGCCTGGGCGGCGCCGGTGGTGGAGCTGGAAGCTCCGGTGCAGGTGCCAACACCACCTGCGGCTCATCCTCCGGCTCCGCCTACGCTGTGGGAGCGGCGGGCGTCCAGCAGCGCGTCTCCGATCCCTGGCTGCAGCCGCAATCCGATCGAGAGCGAGACTCGAGGCACGATGGCCGGCGTAGGTCCTCCACCATGACTGCCCGCTACTCCCTGTTCGATGCATTGGATCTGGAGTATGTCCTCCTGAGGGCCGCCGCCCGGGGCTCTGTGGGCCCGTATAGCCTCAGCGAGTCCATACACAAGCTCACCTTCACACAGTCGCTGGCATTTCCGGCCCTTGCCCGGGGACTGGCCACCAAACGAAGGAGATCGGCCACGCACACGAGCTCCAGACCCTTGAATCCCCATGAGTCGGGACTGAATACCTGCGCCAAGGTGGTCACAGCCGTGGTGTTGGTGGCTCTATCCTTTATGGTATTCCTCATCGTCTACAAGTTTGTGAGGACGTGAGGTTTGCTCCTGGCCCCGTCGCCAGAGCTGCCAGTCACATATCAGGCCAACTATGGAGCTGAGGATGCAACGTCGCTGTCGTCATCTTCGTCGTCGTCGTCATCCTCCTCCTCGATTATCTCGTCAGCGGGCCGCAGTCTGGGAAAGCACATGTCGGGGTTCAGGAGCAAATTGGGCCAGCGTCAGGCCGACTTTGAGTGATTGTTAACGTTCGAGGAACGTTAGTTAAGGCATTGAGCAAACACTGGTCAACATAGTTTGGTTAGTCAAGGTAGTTCGATAGAGATTTTGGTTAAGGGAAGCTTATAGAGATTCAAATAATACATTTATTAATTTTAGTTGACGATTTAAGAAATTTCTTTGCTAGTTTAGAGTTAATGACCAAGCAAAAGGACCTTAGAAAAAATTGTAAACAGATTTTCAAAACACAAACTAAGCTCTAGCAATGGTCTTATATATAGATTTATAAATATTTTACCGATATTAATCGGAATGTCAACGTTGCCCATTACATATTGGCCATAAATCGATATTCTGTTTGATATATTTTTCGATTATAAATTCGTTCAATAAATTAAATAACAATATTTGGATATTTTTTGATTTTATCGATATTTAAGCGTTGAATAGTTTTTTTTTTTCTATATTTGGAAATTCGATAAAAATTTCCGATAATTTCGATAAATTTCGAGAAATGTTTTCCACTAATTAATCATCCTTTTCATCTCTATATACAAAATTCTCAAGTCGTATTCATCATTAACTAACCAAATTTAGCTGACCAGTGAAATTTTTGTGATAAACTATCAATGACAAGCAAATTTTCCACAAAACAAAAAAAAAGAATAAACCCAACACACAAAAAAAAAAGAAAGAAAATGGAATAAAAAATTAAAGGCTTAAACAATTAGAAGAAAAAACACACACACAGCTTCAAGAGGCTTGCCAGAGTTTCATCAAATTTATATTATACCTATATGAATAATAATATTTTTTTATAAATATAAAACAAAACAAAAAAGAAGAAATCAAATCGATGCTCGCATTTCCTAGGCTCCTATTTAGCAAAGAGATTTTTTGATAAAAAACTAGAATCCAGTTTCATTGTTTGCAGTTGGAAGTGCCTAACTAATTTTTAAAAACAAATTACATAAAAATATTCTGCTTTTTTCTTTTTGTTCTCTTCCTTAAAAAAATTAACGAATTTAGAATTTTTGGCAGCTGCTTTGATGATGAAAAACTGTTTATAGGCTGCAAGTAGTCCAAAAATAATGTCCCAGTAGACACAGTTTGATGGTAAAAATGTAATTTTTAAATTAAAATTTGGTGATGGGAATGAAGGGGGGAAAATGTGATGAAGGAGGTTTATACTCATATATTTTTAAATAATTTTATTATAAATATTTTAATTATTAAATATTTTAAAAATTGAAAATCATTGAAAGCTTGTTTTTTTATGATAAATGTTGTGTTAAGAGAATTGTGTTTTCTTTATTTCTCATATTTCATTTAACAGCATTAACCTTAATTTATTATATTTACCTTACTTTTCATTAAAAAATCCTTCATCTATTATTCCCCTTAAATTCAAAAGTCTCCTTTTAGTGTTGAATAATTGGCATTAGTCTTAAGGATCAAGGAACCTTGTCAGAGGAGCGTAGGACCTACATACAAGTAAAAATTTGTACTGAGTTGTTAGGTGGCTAATTAATGGCGGAAAGATATGATATATGATATATGGAAATCCAGGCATATTAAAATAACATATTTATGGTAGCTATATATATATTAGTTATACAAGCAAATATATATAAACATGTGTAAGTATATGGGTGTTTATAAATGTGTACTTAAGCTGCTTAAATGTGACAAAGCACTTGCTGAACTACCAATACAAACTCTCTACTCTTAACTTGCTGCCTTACTTTCCTCTAGTGAAAAAATAGTTGAAACAAAAATAAAAACGAAATAACAAATATTGAATGGTGAACAAAAAGTCCCGACTTACAAAAATTCTTCATAAATTGCTGCCTTACTTTCCTATAAAAAAACAAAAAATCCCGAAAAAACAAACCTCTTTATCTCTCTGAGCTTTTTTCCTATTTCCTCTATGAGCTTGGCCTAAAAAATATGCAAAACGAAAAAAAAACATTTTATATAGAGTAAACAAATATATATATTAAATGTAATGTTAAATAATTCATATATTAATATAAAGCGCTAGCTAAAGTATAAACATTTTTGTGTTGCATAAGTTTAAGTTAGTTTCTTTCCCTACTTTTTTGGCATCAATAATTTGTACATTCATCAATATTTATGCATAGTTTTATGTCCTTCTCTTTTTTACTTTACGATTGGTGTGCAGCCAACTATGATTAAATAAAAAAAGTAACAAAAAAATAAAACTGAAAAAGAAATACATATTAAATGTCACACAAACAGAAATGAGAAGAAAATGAAAAAGCAACTGTAAATCGTAACTGAAGTAAGTTGAAACGTGCAACAATAAAACGAAAGGAAAAATTTTTCAAATAAACATTTTCCATTTGTGTTTCTCTTTTTATATTATTTTCCCAGCGAGATTTCCTTGGCATAAAATGGAGGGGCAAAAATTGAATTGAAAATGAAATATTCTTACTATCGCATTTAAGACTCGATTTTCCCTTTGGCTTCCGGGAATTGCAAGTAACTAATTGAGAGTGACGTGGCAATAGGGCAACGAGAAGTTAATGAAGATGATGATGATTTATGGAGAGCTTCGATTTTCCGAAGGAGTGGAAATGTATTCCCGGAGGGAAGCATAAATGCTGTTAATGGAATTGAATTAAAAGGGAAATTCTTGAAAAATTCTTTCATTTATTGAAAGGAAACTTTAAAGTAGCTTTAAAAACTATTAAAAAAGGTGTCCAAAAGTATGCTACAACATCTTTACTGTGAATTTGACAGCTTATAATTCGGTTGCATACTTTTATGCATATTTTTAAAAGGTTTTAAAGAAGCTAGTTCTTTTTCATTTAATTAATTTTTAAACATTAGGCTCACAAAATCAAATGAAAACCTTTAATAACCTAAAAAGTTCACCCCATTAACTGCATGAAATAATTAAAAATTTATGGCCTGTGTAAATATTTCCTCCTCCTATTCATTATAAACAAAAGCTCAACAACAATTAGTTGACATTATTATTTCAGCAGCCATTAAAAAAAAACACAGATAGTTTTGTTAAAATATTCATTAAGAGCTCAAATTTACATGCATTAAAAAATCATACCCACTAATAATTGAATTGTCAATATGTTGCCTCTACTTATATATATTTACATAATCTACTGCTGCCAAGAACTTAACAAATTGCGGGAAATCAGTTCTGTTTCGTCTGTTTCCCAGTTGAACATTTGGCCAAGCAATCACTGTGCTGGTTGTGGCATTCGGAAAATTCGGATAACTTCCTCGGGGGCTTTGGGTGATAAATCGGTCTGTCGGTGGTTGTCTTTCGGGTGAGTTGCTAATCTAAATAATTAAGCAAACTCAATTAGATTTGCCAGGGCAAATATGTGTATATGTGTATATACAAACACAACCAGATTTCAGTGTGTGCAAGTGTGTGTTGCCAACTAATTTATCCATAAAAGGGCAAAGCAAACTGGGAATGGAATGAAAACACTGACAAAATGCCTGGCAAAAAGGACATTTGGCACAGATTGCTGCCAGAACTGGGCCAGAATATTTGACGAAATCTGGCCCCGAGCTAAAGGAGCTGGGCGGCAGGAAGAGTTCCTACACATATGGTGTTCAGGATATGGTCTGAATCGGCTGGAAGGGGTCTCGGTCTGATGCATAATTAAGCACGCAAACCGCAGAGAAAAACAACAAAAAGAATAAATGCCACCGAAAAATGGAATCAGTGGCCGAGAATCCATACCAAGAGTAAACACACACACAATTCTCAGAGCCGGATATTTGGTATACGAGTGTATATTATGTATACGCAGTGTGATACGTTGACCAGTTTTGGCTATCGAATTGGGGTGAAGCCCCCAAAAAAATAATTGAAATACAATTTTAAACGACTCAGTGCATTCGAATCAACACAACACGATGACTTTTAATTTCAAGTATCCACGTTCTGATGGCATTAAAAATATTTCAACAATTTTATGCTGGGTTTTGTGCAGTAGAAAAAATATTTTTTTAATTTTAAAAGACTTAACTTTACATTGATTTAAAAGTAAATGAGGTTTAGAGATTTTTAGAAATATTTAAATTATTTTAATTTTAGCAATATCTTCATTTTCTTTAAATTTACTTTTAACATGCTTTCCTATAATTTGTAAATGCTTTTATTTATAATTTATAATATATATATAATTTATGTTAATTTTTTCGAGCAATATAAGGTATTGCAAGCTTTATGAAATTCTTTTAACAACATCATATATATTTTTTTAATTTTAAATATTCACTAAATTTAAGTAATTTTCCTTGACGTGTGAATCCTCTCTGCTGGCCGCCTCTTCTCCTGTATTTTATACCTTTTGATATGCTTTGGCTGTATATTTTTAGCACTCAAGGCTGCCAAAGCTACGGATGCTCATGCGGATGTGGAATGATTTGAAAAGTGGTGTAGGCAACAGTTTGTAGGCAGGTGGTGGGTGGGTGGTGCAGGGAGAAGGGTTAAGCATACACACACGAGCCGCCGCCGCCTTGAGAGCCACCGCAAATGCGCCTGTTTTATTTTATTTCTTTTTTTTTTACCCTGTTTTTTGTGTTTAAAACTTGTTGCAAATACGAGCTGCTGCCGCTGCCGCTGCTACTGCGAGCATCTGTCGAGGCCTTGACTCTGACTCTGTGTACGTCCTTGCTGGTGTAGGGGGAGGAGGAGGGGCAGGGACCTTGGGCAGAAATTGAAAATTGAAATTTGTGGGGCTGCTAAACACTGATCAAGTGTAATATATTTTGGCCTTTTTTGAGGGATTTGGGCTAAAAATAAATAAATGGAATTGAAAATAGGAAAAAAGAATAAAACATTTAAAGGCTTCATTTAAATAGTTATTAAATTTATCTTTAGAAATAAAATACAATTTAATATAAAAAAAATATAGCATTTACATGTTTTGAAACCTAACAATCTCCTGTTTCTTCAGTATTTTTATAATAATTTATTTTTAACTAAACTCAAAACCTTTTAAAATTAGAAAACAAAATTCCTTTAGACCTAAAAATATGTGTACTCTCAATCGAAGGTTGTAATTTCATGTAAAGTAAGCCCAATTGTGCTGCCTTAGCCTTCGCCAAAAAGGTCAAACTAAATTTGATTTGAATTTTAAATTACGCACACGATGAAGGTAATTTACCTAAAAATTTCACAAATGATGATCCGCCAAATTGGATGGAGGGGCAGGGTCAGAAGAAGCTACCCAGCAGACACTTAAAGTAGATAGAGGGGGTCATGGGGTGCCATGTAACAAGATAAGACCCTTTGGTACTGGAAGACCTTTTGCATTTCAATTAAAAATGATTAAAGATACACAAGAAAAAGGTTAAAAGGCGCGCATGCAGCACAAAATTTGTTGCGGGCAAATAACTTTCAAGAGGAAAAAAGAAAAACAAGCAACAGGAAAAGTAGAAAACCCCAGCAACTGGGAAAACTGTCACACACACAGCAAGACACACAACCGAACAAACAGATAAACCGTAAAGATATATATTTTAATGCAAACGTAGGCCGGCGACGGACTGCAGGGTACAAAAAATATTTAAAAAAAAAGTCCTGCAACCATGGAAATTAGTTTTGCTGACAAAAACAAATGCGGCTACATTTCTTTTTACGAGGAAACTTGAAACTTCAGTGCAGCAGAAACTGAAAAGGAACAAGGAAGTAACCGCCAAGGAAATGCGCGTGCACTGAGTTTTCTTTCAGAAAAGAAAAAGAACACAATGGGAAAAGCGTCGAAAATGAAGAGGAAAGCAGCGACACAGTGTCTGGATGTCGACGCATGTTCCTGTCCCTCTTTACATCCTTTTTCCTACGTTTTTGTTGTCTTTTAACAATTCTTTTTTGATATCCTTAATAAACACACAAAGAAAAATAAATATCTTAAAGGGTTTTATGGAATATTGTTACTTAAAACTTAGTAATAATTAGGGATTTTTAAATTAATAATAATTTCAAAATAATGCAATTGATTATTTTTAATTAAAAAAAATATTTTTTATTTTTTTAATCTAAGTTTAAGGTTATTTGTTATCAAAAAAAATTAATTTGCTGAGGAACAATAGAAAAAGAGGTTATTATAAAATTTGTTTTAATTTTATTCGTAATTTAACATTATTTTTATTTTAGAAATATAAATTTTTATAATTTTCTTACTTTATTATACTATTTTTCATCAGTGTCAGAGAAAATACAAACAGCGGCAGAGCCAAAATGTCTGCAATTTCAATTCGCCAACATATGTCTCCGCTTCCCGCTCCCTTTTCCCAATTTTCCTGTCTCTTATTTTTTTTCTCCCCTCCGGCTAATGTGTTTTCCTCTCCTTCCGCTGCTGCACTTGCTTTTAATGAATTTTAAATTTAATATTAAAGCACTTACAGTGGATAAATTTAATAAACATAACTATTTGCAAATTCAATGCTCGAAGCGGAACAAATAAAACGGAAGATTTTCCGGGAATCAAGTTGGTCCTGCACCTGACAGCTAATTGAGCCCAGTCGGTCTACCTTTCGTTCTCCCTCTCACCTTCTCCCTTTCTATATCCTTGCGGACTATTTTACGGCCCCAAGGAACTCGCACAAAAGTCCCACGCACACACCTGAGCCTGAGCCGAAGCCCGTAACTGAAACTGAGTTGAGGTCCTGACTGGCCGCCCGCCCGCCCCCACTCTCGTAAGACAATTATGAAATGCGTTTTTTATAGTCCTATTATTGCTGTAGTCCTGGACCCCCTCTTTGACGGGGGGTTAGGGACAGAGAGAGGATACAATCGGGCTTTGTTATATGACCAAGATCGCTTTGTCTTGGCCGTTTGGCTGGCGTTGATTAAAAATATACGTACGTGCATACCTGGCGCTTGTATAACAATGTCCTTTTGGCTTCAAGGGAAAGCCACCAGTTTTCCGCTGATTGCCGTGATTATATTACAATTAAGATTTAAGTAAAACAAAAAAAAGTGAGCATAAAATTGCCTCATAAAAGGAAATTTTAGTTAAGCAGCATTGCTGCATTGTTTAAGAATATTTTCGGGGAAATTGAACCTTTTCTTTGAACTTTTTTATTATAATAAAATCTAGTCTAATTTTCTTGATATTTTTAATAACAAAATTAAAGGAATTACGAATTCGAAATAAAAATATTGAAATTAACATTTGTAATTAAAAACCTTGCAAATAAAGAACAAAGAATTCCTGCCAAAATGTCTGCAATCTATTTATTTAATTTTTTATAAATATTTTTATTTTATAAATATTCTTTCAAAATATTAAAAAAAAACATGTTTATTTCAAAGAGAAATTTTTATCCGTTTTGGAAATTTAAACAATTTTTTTTTTTTTTAATTTAAGGAATGTGGTTTTCTAATTTTATTTAATTTAACCAAGTTGGTTTTAAAATCAAAATATATCTTGAAATAAGGCATATTATAATTCCTATTCAGAACCAGAACCATCTTTATTAGGAATCCTTATTTAGGATTATCTCCTATACATTTTCAAATTTAAAAGTAACGGACTTAAAATTCCCAAAAACCTGGCAGCCCTAGAAATGTCTGTCGATATTTATATCGATAGTTGTATTACAATCGAAAGCAGTATATTTCTCGCTCCCTATAAACATCCACACTGCTTGGCGGCTTCAACACAATTTTTTGGCAGCAAATAAACAATACAAATATTCTATAAAAATGCACCAAGAACCCGAAGAACAATCCTTTCAACTGCAGGCCCTGGAAATACGCGAACCAGATGCCAATTTCGATCCACAAAAGCCGCCCGAGTCCGGGGAAGAGTACCTAATGCACATGGCCTACGAAAGGAAGCGCTGCCCGGCTGTTGTGACCAAAAGATCTACAAAAATCAAGGATAATATAGGAAACAATACCCTACAGATGATGGAGAATGTAAAAAGAACGAGACAGCATTTACTACCATTTGCTAAATTGATTCCTTATACCCTTTCCAGCCCGCTCTGCCCCCTTTTAGATGCCTGCTGCCCACACCGGAATGGCGCGAGCAACAGGTAAAATCCTTTCAAGAAGCCCGTTCCCAGGTGCACATGCTACGCAAGGAGCTGGCCCAGAACAACTATGATCAATCGGCCGAGCCACCGCTAACCTCGGACCAGGAAAAGTGGCGGGAATTCTGCCGCCTTAAGCAGCCTCTACTCAGCATTATATTGCATTTAACCCAAAACGATTTGGAGCACCTGCTGGAAATGCAGAGCAAATGGCTGCAAGCGGAGCAGGTAGATCTTCTCCAGGATGTCTGGCTAGCCCGCTGGCTATATGCCACCTTGGTGTGCCTGCATCTGCCACTGGAACCTTATGTCTACAGCACCATGCGTTACATAGCCCGCACCTGCATCCATCTTCGGAATCAATTGAAGGAAGATGAAGGGCAGCGAGCAGCGCCCTATAATCTAATACTAACACTTATACATGATGTCTTTGCACAGATGGATTTTAAGGAATATATTTAAGGTTCTCATGAGACTTTTCCTTTATCTAATATTGTGGAAACATGCGTCTGTAGGCTTGGCAAATATCACAGCTGCTTTGATGATGATCGTCCATAAGTGTGGACAAATGGCAGCTGCTGCTTGGCGTCAACGATGAACTCTGGCTAAGGCTGCTCAGCTGGGTGGTGCTGGAACAAGAGGATAGACGTCGCTCCTGTTGATGCTGCTGCTGCTCTGGGGAACCTCCTCCTCGCCAGCCTGGACAACAATTGGATTCGCGTCCATGACACACCCTTTGCTGCTGCTTTCGGGGCTGCTCTAAACGTGTTAAGCAACGGCTCTCCACATGCCTATTAATCACCGAAGAAACTGGCTGCTCTTCCCTGAAACCCGAGCAACTGCAGCCCTTTTTCCTGTCCTGCGTTGTCAATTGTGCAGAGAGCTCTACTTTTGGAGCCAATATACCAGGAAAGGCAGGTGTGGCCTTCATCAAAAGCTGGACATTGGAACTGTGGGCGCAGCTCAGGCGGGGAATCGTGGGCTGCATCACATCCGAGAGGTTTCCTATGAAGTAGGCCAACCTTCGACCATTCTGCCAAATGGTTATCTCCAGCTGCTCAGATCTCAGTAGTTCGTGCATGTCTTCCAGGCACTCTACATTCTTGAAATAACCCTCCATGGTGAACTGGTCGTGGCAGAGCATAGGAAATCGTGGCTCCATTGCTCCCGTTCGAAAGTAATAGCCCAAAGTCTTGACCGTGGCCTCCAGATAACCGTGGGAGCAGAGCCAAACACCGGGACACGTGAGCTGGAAAAGTATGTAAACCTAAAAATATAATTTAGATCTTAAAGTTAACACCAACCGCATGGAGTTGTAGGTCCAATCTCACATAGAATCTCTTGTAAGACATTTTTTGTATATTTTTTAGCTTTTTGCAAGTGAAAGTATGTTTTGTCTGCCGGTAGAAGCAAAGTTGTGGGGGCGGGAATTGGGGGAGCTTTGTTTTGGAGCCATTTGGTTGCCAAGGGGAGCCGTTGAAAAGTGAATTTCAAAGTCGATAACGATAAGTGGGACCTTTGGTTCTTTAAAGTGTTGTAAAGGGTTAAAAGTTGAAATGGAAAAATAGCTATAAAAGGAAAGGAACGGCGCACATTGCGTATACGTAATATGCATTTTCTCAACTTAAGAAAAGAAAATAAAAGTACGAACAAACACAAATTAAAGCCAATTAAAAATTCTTTAAATATTTGCATTGAATTTTTAAATATTAAATACAACTCAAAGCTAATAAAATTAAACTTAATAAGTAAAAATATTATTTTTATTCATTTGTTGTTGTTTTTTTTTTTAATAAAAATAAATTAAGTAAAAAAATTAATTAATATTAAAACTGAAAACTAGCTAATTAAAAAAATAGCCATCTCAGCAGAACAGCTCTGATTGGAGTCTTTGGCGTTTTGCAACACTAAATTCTTATCTTCCAGTATTAAGCGGCATTCCACGTCAGGTTTAATCATTGTTTTGAAGGAAATCAAACAGTTGAAATGCGCTTGAAAGGCTTTACCCTGTATCTGGGCCTCCTGCCGCTACTCCTCCAGGTCACCAGTGGCGAATCCCCCGAGGAGGAGCAGGGCGTACGCTATGCCAACCGCTGTGAAGCCTGCAAAATCCTGGCCGCCGAACTGGAGGCGCGTCTCGGGGAGACCGGCAAATCCCATGATGTGATCGAGATTGGCTACTCCGTGGATGATGTGAAGCCCAAAAAGCGCACTGAATACCGGCGCAGTGAACTACGACTTTTGGAGTCCCTGGAGAACGTGTGCGAGCGAGTCCTGGAGTACAATCTGCACAAGGAGCGGACCGACAGTACAAGATTCGCTAAGGGCATGTCGCAGACCTTCCAGACCCTACACGGTCTGGTGGACAAGGGCGTCAAAGTGGATCTGGGCATACCCTACGAACTGTGGGACAAGCCACCTGTCGAGGTCACCCAGATGAAGACGCAGTGCGAAAATATGCTGGAGGAGTACGAGGAAAGGATAAGTGATTGGTATTTCAAGCTGCAGGATAAAAAGTCTCTAAAGAAGCATCTGTGCGAGGATCATGTGCTCAAGAGAAAGGAGGAGAGGGAATGCCTCAAGGAGGAACTGCCACCGCCAAAACCCAAGAAAACGGACAAAAAGAACAAGAAGCCCAAAGGTGATAAGGAGGAACTGTGAGACCAAAGTGTAAAAGGATATTAAATACTATTAGAAAGTGTTTCAAGTTAAATTCTATTTAAATTCTTCCATTTACTAGAATTTCTTGAATTGAAAATATTTTTGTATCAGTTTAAGTAAAAGTTTTTTATACTTTTAACTCCGTTTTCGAAATGGAATTATCTTAGAACAAATGTTAATGTTAAGCTAGTTTAAGTAAAACTCACTCAAAGTTTATATCCTGTAAGCCAAAAACCTTCCTCTACGACTGAGCCACAAAATGTTACTGAATGTCTCACCTGGGGCCATTGGCTGGGCTTATTGATTTCGGCCATGAATTGGGGTCAACAATTAAAAGTTGACTGCCCTCGGGGGTATACTCAACCGAAACCACCACCATAAGCCCAAAAGCCACGTGTTTGCCTTAACAAAGCCAACTATATAAATAATAAATACTCAAAATGTTTCAAAAAATAAGTATAATAAAGATTACGAGTCTTTTTTATGGCTTTCTAATCTCGAATCTTTTTAATGCTCTTCATAATTTCAATAAAAAACCTTCCAATCTTTTCGTATGTCTTTAATAAATACGTTGCGTATGCATATTTAAAAGTAAAAAATATTATTTATAATCGAATAATTGGATTGTTTCATCTTTGAGTTTTCGTTTTTTTAGAATCACTACAGCGGGCTTCTCGGGGGACCACTTTAACCCACAAATGGACTCTTTAAAATTTGATTACCAATCCAAAACGTGTGGTAAAAGCCACCCCCCGTAGCCCTTTTAAGATATTATTTAGTTTGCTTATAGCTTCATCACGTCCCAGGGATCGTCCATATAATGTAATATAGCTTTATCATGAAGTTTCTCCCCAAAAACCTCTTTAAGCAACCGTAAAACGCGCTCCTCTATAAACGCCACCTGATCCTGTGGACAATAATCATCTTGGGCCGAATGGGCCATTGTTATGGCCACCGGTGGCACTGGCAGACGTTCAATAAATTTCTTGAAATTACCAAAATACGATTCAAGTTCCTCAGCGGTGCTAATGTGATGCGGTAAACCGTTATTGTCGGTGGTGCTACCCGAATCGAAGATCAAATGCCAGTCAATCTCATCATCGGGATACTTTTCCTGCAGCTGCTCGGCAAGGCTAACAATCTTGGCATATATCTCCGGAGTTATGACCTTCTCATCGGGCTTTTCCAGACCCTCAAATGTACGTTCCTCCTCCAAATGCCAGAAGATTTGCTTCAAGGCATCCAACTGGGTCTGCCTGCGGTCTGCGGTGGCCATGTAATCTGCTATAGTGGCGGTGCCTGAACTTTTGATCTTCTCCACGCTTTCGAAATGAAAGATTTCCTTCAGCTGATTGTAGCAATCGGCATCTTTGTAGATTTCCAAAAACGGATTGGAAGTGCTAAAGAAGTCCAAGTCTATATCGAGCACAAATCCTGGGGCATCTTCTAAAGCTAAGAATTCCTTAGGATCGAGATTCTCGTTGTCGGCATCGTGTACTTGTAGCTCCACACTTTTGGCTTCCTGGAGATCATCGGTGGTGCAATAGTTGCCATCGGCTATAAAGTAATCCAAAGGACAATCGACGCCAATGCGATCCTCCTTGTGACCCACTTTGAACTGATGCCGGCCAGTGGGCAGCTGTTGGCACCAGGAGTTCTTAAGCCAAACGATGCGATTAAAGTGACCTAAAGGCAGGGTTTATATTAATTAAAATTCCTGTACAAAAATCCAACCAACTCACCTGCATACAGAGTGGGCATAATCCAATTCTCAATGCTCAGTTCATTGAGCATTGTGTCCTTGTCAAAAGCCGCACTGGCGGCTATATGACGAGGGATAACCAAATCCGGATGCGAATCAAAGTGCACCAGAATATTATTCTCTAAAGGAAGATGTCGCGTGCCCAGGCAGCGGTAGATAAACTCCAGGACATCGTTGTGATAGTCAACAATGAAGACGGGAATGCGTTGGAATTTCCTTGGACTACTTGGGGTGCTCTGCACCGAGCCTAAGGGCATTCCCCGGTGGGGTATCAGTTGGGGAATCTCCTCATCATCCAAATCTTCGCTCTCCTCGCTGTCATCCCCCTCAGCACTCTCTTTTTCCTCCACAGTCTTTTGTCTCTTTGTTGGCGGCGCCTCTTCTTCCTCCTCCTCCTCCTCCTCCTCCTCCGCCTTCTCGTCCACCGCCGGTGTCATCGAACTCTCGGGACTTTCACTTTGGGTTAGCTTTTTCAAAGCCGCCGCCGCACTCTCCTTGTCCAGGGTATCCGACTCCATATCGTCCCGGGTGTTTCTTAATATTCGCCGTTTGGGAACTTAGTTTCGGCTTTTAATTATTGGCATTTAATTTTGTATTTAATATTTCTGTGATAGAGATGTGAAAAATATAACAAAATATCAATATATCGATACGGTTTATATCGATGGTGCTATCGTTGATAGAGATGGTGATGGTGTATTCCTGCGATAGTTGGTAGACTATCGGGGCTTTATTTATATGTGATTTTATTTTGATTTATAATGTTAAGGCAAACTTAAACAAACTAAAAAATTTGATATATAATTTAAATTAATAAAATAGAAGCTGAAAAATAGGCAAAGTATTCAATTAATAAAATTCGTTATTTTGAACACAAATATCGATATAGATTTCGATGGCATTACTATAAGTCCGTTAATTTTAAAATTTTAAGCTTGGAAACTCTATTTAATTCTTATTTGATATATAAAATACCATTCTAAATTAAACAAAATTATAATTTTCTTCAAATGTATATTATTAATTAATTTATTTTATTTAAATATTTATTATATTATTAGTGATACATTATAAAATGTGACTTTTAATGTAATAACATTTATTGAAAATTAGTTTAAGTTAATCATAAAATATAAAATAATATAAATATAAAATAATAATAAAAAATAGTAAAATAGTTTTCTAATAGACTTAAAACTTGAATAACGAATTAAAACGAAAAATACAAAAAATTTTATTTAGGAGAGAAACTAAAAATATTATAAATATAAATATAATAAATACTTTTTTCGTTATATTAAAATATTTTAAACTCACCAAAGCAGAAATCTAAAATTAGTTCAGTGACTTGTTTACTTTATTGTTCTTATTTATATAATAAATATTGATTAAATTAAATGAAAAAAAATCAACTTGAAAGAAAACCAAGTGCCTCAAGGAGTCAAGGACTTCCCAGGAACCCATAAAAGCAATGTACACATGTACATTCCAATTGCAAAGTTTGTGAAAGGCGGTTGTTTTTTTTCGAAAAGAAATTCATTAATTAAACATCACCCTTGGTAAGCTTCGGCCCACACATAGGCCTCACTTAACACCACCCGTCGCCTGAGCCATTGCCACCACCCACATTTCAAGGTTGCGCTCACATTTCGGAGATTTAAATCAATATTCCGTGTGTATCTCTGAAGCTCCTCGGACGCTGCTCGCCGTAATGCGATTGCTATTGAGACTTGGAAGAGCTTTCAGCCCGCAGAAAGCGCCGCCCACGCTCTTCCGGGGCTTTTCATTCATAAGTTGTTCATTTTCTGTGAGTATTTGTATTTTTGCAGCAGCAGAAGCGGACGCCCGCCCACATGGCCGATTGGAATGCGTAAAATGTTGCCGCAGTGTATATGTTCGTGTGTATCTGTGTCGCTGCAACTCTGTATCTGTGGGTTTCTTTTTTGTATCTGTATCTTTACTGCTTATTCGCATTTTCAGTTTTTTTTTTTTCTTACTTTTTGCTTTTTGCAGCTGGTGAAAATGAATGGCGGCTTGGTGGTCTGGAAAAACGCCAGCGCCGACTGCTCTGCTCGGACGTGGGCGTGCAATGTTTCCGCCGCTGGAGCGTTATCAAAAATATATAACTGTATATAGACTTTTGTGGGTGTCTCCTCAACAAACACACTTACAAGCACAACACTCTCCTTTTATTTTCTTTTTTTGTTTGTTTTTATTTTACTTATTTTTTTGGTGCCAAGTTATTGCGTGGGCTGTGCGACACCCCGAAAAAAACGGAGCCTTACCCCCAACATTACAACACCAACAAAAGTAGGGAGTAATATAGGTTTTCTATTGGGTATTATTAAATATTTCCCATTGAAAAAGTCTGGAGAATATTTTATTTTGAAGTTAATTTCAAATTTTTTTTGGATTTATACAAAAAGTGAAAAGAAATTCAGTCTTACAATTACTATCATAGTAATACTATAGAGATATTATCAGTAATACATAATTGTACTATTAGTTTTTCATGGAAACATACATGGAAACCTGATCATTTTCTATTTTTAAAATTTAGACACATCAATCTTTATGGAATATTCAACATAATATTGACCTCTTCACTTTGGTCAAAAAATCATACCATACTTCTCCTTTCCCCGTTCCTCTTAAAACTCCCCATTTTTTATTTACAACTTACTTGGTTCAATATAATTAACAAACCAGCCTGAAAGCTTATTGCTCAAGTATTAAAAATAAAAATTCCTACAAATTGTCAATGGGAGATGGTTGGGGGAAGTGTTTCTCTAAAACGGAAGTGCCAACTTTGAGAGCATCGCCCCTTTAGCTCCGACTTTTGATTGAATCAATTGGCTGCAATTTCGCTTTTAGTTTTTTTCTGCTTTTTTGTTTTTGTATCAATTACAGTAGCTCCGCGCTTTCTCTAGCTGCTGTCTCACCCAATTCTCGCAATTAATTTGCCTTCAGCTTGACCCCGTAGGTCAAACACTGTGCCGCATTAACCTTCGTTAGCCCCTACACTTTTTTTCAGTTATTTCCCCTTCAATTGAAGAAGGATGGACGGGTGATGACAATGATGATGATGGTGGCAAAAAAAAAGAAGTGGGAAAAGCCAGAAGAAATTTCTGCGCTCGAATGCTCTAGTTTAAAAATACAAGCTCGTAAAGTCAACACCCGAAACAAGGTCGAAACGAGGGGAGTATAAGATAATTTTAAAGAAAAAAACAAAATATAATAAAATATTTATAACAAGTTTTAAAAAGCTCGAAAACCTTTTAAATAATAAATTATTAATAACTTCATTTAAGCTAAATTTGATACTTCATTTTAACTATAAGTAAAACCTTATAATTATTGGTAAATATATTTAAAAAAATATTTTTAATTTACAAATTTCTTTAAAATAATTTTGGTTTAATTCCTAAGCATGGTGTTCACTCAACCATTCCAATTAGGTTTTAGGGGCACAAAATTCACCAAGCTACCACCGTGAATGACGTCAAAAGGATTTTGTTTCTGGCGTAGGTGCTTGCTTTGCTTTTCCCTTTTTCGTCCTGTATTTTCTTTTATTTCATTTTATTATTTTACCTTTTTCAAGTGGAACACGTGGCACTGGCTGTGTTTAAGCCACCGTGATGCTGGCTGAGCAGAGAATGGACCATGTGGAAGTGAGTCAAAGGGAAACCGAACCCGAGAACCCATATATAGCACACAAATCCTGAACGAACCAACGTCATTCGAATTTCAATTCGCTAAATAGTCATTCAGTCATTTGGTCAGGTCGCAGTTTGTTTCATATCAATCGCAACATTTGCTCGCGTGTGCGCCCAAAGCTGAATTGTTTCACATCTTTTCCCTCTTATCTGAAGTCTGGAGTTTGTGATGGTTCTTTTTGGCTATTTAATGGTGGTTTCCAGACCATTTTTTTGGATAATTTTAGGACATACTTTAATTTAAGAATATTTAAACTAAAAATTTATTAATTTCGTTTAGGAAACCAATTTTACAACTAAGAATTAGTATATCTTATGTCTTCCAGATATTTTTAATCAAAAAAATTCAAATTTCTTCTATATAATATTACGTATACGTAATGTCAAAATGTTGAGCAATATTACTCATACGACACGGGGGCTTAATACAAAGTGTCTTTGTTCCCAATGATACAAGAACTTAGTTACATTTTTTTTAATAATAAACCTAAAATATAGAAGTAATTTTTATCTTAAAAATTAATACGATATACGGCTATAAAATTTGAGCATCACTTGTCTGGAACAACGTCATCAGAGTGCCACGAATTTTAAATACTGGGAAGCGGGAGAAGAAGGCATACGGGTATCTATCTAGACATATATATATTCATATACACTCCTGCCCACAATTATACGACACCCCGAAAACTTTAGTTTCGACCCTCGTAGGAATGTCGGGAAGCATATTACAACAAATTCAAGTATGCTGAATTAAAGCTTAATGAATTATGCTTAAAATATGATTTTTTTATCTCTGATTGGACCACCCGTTTTTAAATAGCGTTAAAAAAAGCAGAAAAGCCCGATTTTTGCCATGCCTGAAACTGTATCATAGCTATACGACACATGTCAATTTTTTCGATTTACTTAATATTTTATAATTTTAATGGTATATAAAAAATTGTTTAATGATTAATAGAGCCACTTTAAGCCTTGGCAACCTCAAAAAGTCTCTTAGGCATTGAATTAACAAACTTTTTTGGTAAATATTGGTGTAATGGAAACTTTTGACCCAAAATATCACTTTTAAGGGTCTTGACACTCTAAAATTTCTTGTTATTGGCCTAAGCTCGCCTGACTTAAGTAAACTAAATGTTTTAAATTAAATTCAAGCCAGGGGAGCACGGTGGCCAACCCAAAACTCTTATATTGTGATTATTTATGAAGCGCTGGGTCTCTCTAACTTGGTGAATCCTGCATAAAAACATGATATTTTTCCATATGTTGTTCCAAAAATGTTAGAAGAAATACTTTTTGTATTCTCCACTATTCATCTTGGATCTGGGAAGCACAGATCAAGCGCTTAAGACGCATGAAAGGCTCCCCCAAAACAGCGTTTTGAAAAAATAAGTTTAACCTCATGTAAATCTGTCCAATAGTGTCAAAACCAATCTGGGCCGTCAAGATAAACATTTTTTTCGTCAGAAAAAATTATCTACCTAAAAAATATTGAAAAAAAACTGTATAATCAAAAATAAGTTAAAATGTCATACTGAGGCCAGTGTCTCCAAGACTTTTTCCTAAAAATTTAAGTTGTTCTGTTTTGTAGCTCATTTTTAAGAATGGAGCCGTCTTTAAGACTACTCTGACTATGTACTACGATGATTTCAGTGTCCGCCAGACAGTCATTCGTGACACAGGCTGACTGCAACTAGCGGCAAGTGTGGCGCTCCAAGCAATCGAATAGCTAAATCTAAGAATTATGCGACGTTCATGGCGGTCGGGCAACTTGGGATCCTTCCAGAGCTTTGCTTCACTCCATATTAATCCGAATTTAAAAAAAACTTGGGATAAAACAACGTATTTGATACATTTTCTGCGATATTTCGCTTACATTAAAGCCAGCATCGTTGTAAGCCCTTATTCTTCCCTTTTTTTCGTCGGATAACAAACATCCACTTGGCATTTTATTTCCAAATCATTAAAATGTTACCAGAAACATAAAAAAAATTATTTGAATCCAAATAATTACCTCTAGCCGTTAAAATTGACATGTGTCGTATAGCTATGATACAGTTTCAGGCATGGCAAAAATCGGGCTTTTCTGCTTTTTTTAACGCTATTTAAAAACGGGTGGTCCAATCAGAGATAAAAAAATCATATTTTAAGCAGAATTCATTAAGCTTTAATTCTGCATACTTGAATTTGTTGTAATATGCTTCCCGACTTTCCTACGAGGGTCGAAACTAAAGTTTTCGGGGTGTCGTATAATTGTGGGCAGGAGTGTATATATATAGAATTTGTGAGATATATCAGCCTCTTTGGTCTGGTCAAACGTCAAACGCACGTCGATCGTCAGATTGTCGATTGCCGAGACCCGAGTGGCGCCCACCGACATCCGCTGCTCATATGGGCGAGTGATTCACAGAAATCTTTCGGAACGGAACTCTGGGGGCTGGAACTCTGGGGGCAGTGGGCTGATTTGATGCTAAAATGAGTGTGTGAGTGTTCCACAAGTAAGTAAAGTATGTCTGATCAGGCGGAACGGAAATGCGAACGCGAGATAATCAGACGCGCCAATTCTTAATCCCATTTCAGTTGTTTTAGGTCAGTAAAGTGGAGTGAAAAAGTAGTGTGGGAGAATTATATTGTTAGTATTATTAGATTAAAGTGGTTTAAGATAGTACGTACTACAATTGATCAGAAGGAAAAAAATTATTATAATAGGTTTTCCTAGAAATCTTTAAAAGGATCTTAGACTTCTAAATACCAAGAATAATAAGCCAGTATACTTTAGTCGATGTTTCATCGATATGCACCGATATATTTCCTTCACTTATCATCGATATACAAGAATCTTGGTGTTTTTATTTTCAAATGAATCACCACAATATATGTGTATTTTAACCGCTACTTTGATAATTAATTACAACTGAACATCAAACAAAAGAAATTACTGGATATCGTAAATAAATCCCCAACATGACTTATAAGAAACCTCGATAAAATGTTAGCCGATTGCCAATCACACAGTTCCTGTATTTTTCCAATATTCCCAGAATTCCACTTGCTGCTTGGAATCATCATCCATATCGGAAACGGCCATGACTGAATGAATGTACTATATCTAAACACTCCTTGTGGGCGTCATCATCATCTGTATATTGATTAGACAATTGGTTTTTATAATCTAGTAAATGCCGTCACCTACCTGTGCCATTTGGAAATGCCAATCGTGATGTGCAAAAAATCTAATTCAATTTTTCAGTTAATAGATTAAAGTTGGCCCACGATAAGACAGATAATGCGTCAAGTGATTCATTGAGCTCTATATAAATGAGTCCTCCAATTGGGTATTCCCTTTTGGTGCTGGAATTAGACATTGAACTTGGCCCCTACCGAAAAACGGAATACCAAGGTTTGACCTTGGTTTCTACAGTGTCAGAAAATGAAAGTAACGAGCAAGGCCATTCCCCGCAATATGCAATTGAGCAGCTTTTTGAAGTATGCTATCCCAGGGCTTACCTGAAATTCCTACGAGCTTTGATGCTATACTGAAAATAATTTTATTAACTTTTTTAAAGTTTTTAAAAATATATCTAAAATTATATATACGTTATTACAACAATCATAAAGATGCGAAACATGAATAAAAACAACTTCAAATAGGAAAAAATCAAAAGAAATAAAAATTAATAAACAATAATTTATTAAAAAAAATAAAATAAAATAAATTTGCAATATCTCTAAAATTTTAGTATTCTTCTCTAAAAGTAACAATTTGTATTATTCAAAAAACTCACATATTCAAACTTATTCCAGATTTCTTTCAGTGGACGCATTCTTCTTCCGCCCTTTCTTCCCGGGCTGGCAGACAAGCTGGTGGCCTCCCACGCAAACGTGTGTCCTGGGGAACGGCACCTCCGAATTCCCCTAGCTGCGAGGACACTACGTCCTCGGGTTCCAAGTCGCAACCTTGCTGAGAGCTGAAAGCGAGCAACGCCTTAGTGCGTGGGTTTAAGCATAGATTCCGTATTGCCACTTCCCTCACTCTTACCACGTTTCCCTCAACTCCCATTCCCCCAGTCAGTCCGTCTTTCTTTATTTATCCAACGGTTTTCGCTGCTGCGTGGGACTTTCATTCATGAAAATTTTGCTCGAAAGTCGTTGCCGATTCGTATACATACACGTGTAACTATGTGCACATACAAAAGCACGTTGTGCTGGGCTCTACCTAACGGTATATGTATGTATAACTTGGTACATAGGGCTGCTGATGCGACGCAGGCGCCTAGCACAGTTTTGTTGTTTGTGGAGAAATTTTTGCACGCGCCGCATATCCTTGAAATTGTCCTTCCATGCGATTTGTGCAAGTAAGAGTGTGTAAGTGAGCCTTCCTCCTTTTGGTGTGTAAATATCAGGGTCATGGTTATAAAATTAAACATTTTGTCGAGTCTCCAAAATAACTGGAGCTTAGGGGAGAATTTTCGGGGCGCAAAGCTTTCCGTGTAGAGCTCCCCAACAAGAACTTCATTGATGATTCTGCTTCTTCTTCTGCATCTGGCTTCCATAACTTCTTATCGCCAACTTCCCCTTACTCCTCTTGCTCCATTAACTTTTGCATTCATGTACTGGGGCTCTCACCCAAAAGAGAGTAGTCACCAAAGTAGGTGCGATTGAGGGAGGGAGTAGCGGAGCGAGAGCGAGAAAGAGCTAGTTTAGCTGGCGAATTCAATGAATCAACATGGGCACGCAGACTATTGCACAAAAATATCAATGAACTTTACACAAAACTTATGTGAGCGTGTGCAGTGGAGAAATAGTCAAAGAGCGAGGAGAGAAGCAACCGATTAGAGTGGAGATTGGAGAGGCACAGGAGGGCAGGTGAGAGTATTTTGCGATCCCAATTGGGAATGAATGTGTAGGTATATGTGAATTTATGTGCACCATCAATGAAAGTTGATTAATAATCATGTTAGGTTCTTAAAAAATAAAAACTCACAAATTCACATATTATTATTTTGTTTGCTAAACCGAATGTCTTAGGTGTGATTACTTCCGCAGAAGATTTAAGTTTAGTAAGCCAAAGGCAACTTTTGTAATAATACAAAATAATAGTTTGTTCAGGTTAATTTCAATAAGCTAATATTTTTAGAAATATGATTATTGATTTTAATGAAATATCCTCATTAATACATATTATTTATTCTTTTCATTTCATGCTACAAGAAAAAAAAAACTATTCTTTTTACTATGATAAAAGACCAAAAATAAATTTTTTTAATTAAATTAATTTATCAAAATAAATAAAAGATAATACGCATAAATCCCAAATATGTGAAGTTTCTATGTACTTATGTACATACGTTTTAACATTTTATATTAAATTGAATTATTAATTTACAACTTATGACCACTTTCCACCTCTTCGTCGATTGCAGTAAATTTCCCAAGGGGTTTCTTGTGCACTAGCTCTCCGGCTCTCGCTCACCTTTTTGGAGAGTTGGACTGCTCTGCTCATGCCTCTCTCTCTCTCTTCTTCGGGTAACTCTTTGTGTGGGTGAGTGAGTGCAAGTGTGTGAATCCTTGTTTCGAAATTTCTATAAAATATTTTAATGTTTTAAGATTTTTCTAAAGGATTAAAATTTATTTAAAACATTTTTAAAACTGTATATTAAAATAAAAATAAATGTTATTATTCGGTTCAGCTTTAAAATTCCAAAACAGAAAGGCTGAGAGAGTGGGAGAACGGGAGAGAGCACTTTGTTATTGTGCTGTTAAGACGAGAGCAAGCATGGTACAATTACAAAAGGTTGTCTCGTCGGCTTTCAAGCGTTCGGGTTTAAGGGCTTATTTTAACGCTCGGATTTATTCATTAACAACAATATACAACTATTTATAAAGGCAGGGCACCGTTTGCCGATTCGGCCACAAAAAAAGATTGGCTAAAGATTAAATTAAGGCGGGCATGGATGGAAAACGACAAAAGGCTTGTGGAGGGTAAAATAATGGTTAAGACTAGAATACACTTTAAAGTTGAATATTTACCAAAAGACTATATTTTATTGACGTTTCACTTACACTTACCGACTTAACCTGTTTCCCTTACACCTTTACAGGCCAAACTAGGGGCTTATTTTTCTGACCACCTTGCATAATTGTATCATGAGAGAGTGAGAGAGATAAAACGATTACAAGTCTCGTCGGCTGCCGAAGCGTTCGGGTTTTGGTACCTTAAAGTACATGGCTGTATATATCTTAGGGTACCTGACGAGAGCACCTTATATATATATATAATTCCAGCACACATCGGCCGTATATAAGCCGTGAGCAGCTGAGAAACGAGTTTCAAAATTTTTTTTCCAACGTACGCGACGGTTGTATCACTCGCGCTGTTTCCCGTTAAGAAATAAAAAAGTCAACAACATAAAATATGGACATTTGATAAACGGCCACGGAATTATAGCTCCCCATATTGATCCATTTGTTTTTTGGGAAACATTCAACCATTTTCGGATGTTTTATCTATTGTGCGACAGGTTTCTCTCCACGTTTTTTTCGATTCGATTCAGAACGGCGTTGTCGTTGTTGCTGTTGTTGTTTTAGTGAAGCGGTCGCCTCGCACACACCTACAAAAGCACTCGACGCACACACCAACGCGATACATACATACACACGGTTGTGATTTGGCGCGCACTTGTGTGCGTGTGGTAGATACAAAACAACAAAATAAAAACGAAAAATCGGAGTGCAAAGAAACAGAAAACAGCAAACGAGAAAATCGGAAAACCGAAAAACCAAAACAGTGCCCGTGCCCCCAGTTACAGTTTCCATCGGTTGGAAAGGAAAAACAAGAAATTTCGTTTTGATTTCAAAGATTTTTTCGTGCGCGCATGAAAGTGTATGTGTGTGCAGCAACAAACACAAATACCAACGCACACACACACGGTTGCGGAGCAGCAAAAGCAACCGAAGAGAAGAAGAAGAAGCGAGAAGCAGAAGAAGAAAGATGATGTAAACTTTGTTGTAACCCAAAACAAAAACAAAAAACAAATTGAAAATTTGAAGAAGAGAAAGGAAGAAAACGAAAAAAAGTTGGACTCCGAAATATTGCAATATTCAAGAGATTTTTTCCACCCGTAAGAACCGGAAAATCTCTCCTCACAATGCCGGAAACGGAGCAGGAAAGCTGTAACAAGGAGTGGCTCCAGTCGCAACTGCGTTCCCTGGACGCCAAGGATCTGATCCTGCTTGACTGCCGCGGTTCCCACGAGTACAGCGAGTCGCATATTCGTGGCGCCGTCAACTTGTGCATTCCCAGCATCGTCCTGCGCCGCTTGGCCAACGGAAAGATCGATCTGGCCTCAACGATCAAGTCGCCGGAGCTGAAGGAGCGCATCCAGACGGGCTACAAGCTCTGCCTCTTCATCCTGTACAACGGCGAGGGTGTGTCGGGCCAGAATCCGGAAATCGCAGGCGCAGGAGCCTTCGCGGTGGCCATGGACTCCATCATCAGCATTTTGCATCGTCGGCTCAAGCAGGACGGCTGCCGAGTGGTTGCCCTACAAGGTGAGTCATCGCCAAGATACAGAATTTTATGCTTTTCTATATGTTTTTGGAGAGAAGTTAGGAGGGAACCTCCCGGAACCTCTCTTTTGTGAACCATTAGGAAATTGGGAGTTAATTAAAAACGTAATCCAACTTGGGCGAATTTATATAAATTCAATTAAATTCATTACCATTTATTCCAAAAATCATTTCATTATTTTAGAATACTTTTCTTAAAAACCTTGACTCTTGCTTAAAATTTTTTAATTATTTAAACTCAAATTCTTTGGAAAACACTTGGAATTCCCTAACTTTTAAATAAACTGAAATGGAATTTTCTAACCCTGCAATCTCGTACCTGTACGGATAAATATATTAAGCATTTTGTTACACCTTTGGGTAGCTGGCATATCACTTTCTGAAAATACCTGATACTCGCGCCATCACCGGCCATAAATCAGCACCGCACATTCCATTCCTCTAGGCCTAACAAAATCATAATTTATTTATACTTCCCAATGTTGTTTGCGGCATTTTTAGAAACGCGAGAAACCAAAACAAAACAGATTCGAAAGAATATTTTTAATACAAGCAAAAGCACTGCTAGGCCATAAATAAACATTTGCGTCGATTTATTTTGTTATTATTTCTTTCCTTTTATTTCTGTTATATTTTTTTTTTTTTGCGGAACCGTGTGTTGTCTGCCGGTGGGGCTAAAAGGAGAAATGCAAAAAAGAAAAAGATTAGCTATGAAAGATGTAATCCGTAGTGCCTGATAACGCAAGCGCCACATTCGATTTATATATAGCCTGTCTGATCTCTTTAGACATATACGCCGCCGCGCCACGCCGCCGCCGCCGCCGATTTTTGCCTTATTTGACGCGCCGCCGCCAAATTATGAAAATAACGGCGCGCCGCGGCGCGCCGCTGGTGCGGCATCGGCGCAGCTTCAGCGCGGCCTTCAGTGTCATTGTTCTTTATAAAACTTAAAAAAAAATAAATAACTCATTAAAATGGCCTTTTTGCCTTATTTGACGCGCCGCCGCCGCCGGTTCTTTCTGACTACTACGCCGCCGCCGCCGAGTCATTTTGACCTCTACGCCGCCGCCGATGCCTTTAACCATCGGCGTAAACCTCTAGATCTCTTTTTATACCCTTGCAGGGTATTATAATTTCAGTCAGAAGTTTGCAACGCAGTGAAGGAGACGTTTCCGACCCTCTAAAGTATATATATTCTTGATCAGCATCAACAGCCGAGTCGATCTAGCCATGTCCGTCTGTCCGTCTGTCCGTCTGTCCGTCTGTCCGTCCGTCTGTCCGTCTGTCCGTTTCTACGCAAACTAGTCCCTCAGTTTTAAAGCTATCTGAATGAAACTTTACATATAGTCTTCTATATACTCTCACTGCTATATATGTCGGAACGGGCCGGATCGGACGACTATATCATATAGCTGCCATACAAATGTTCGATAAATTTTTAGAAAAAAATTATAACTTGGCTCATTTTCAACATTTTTGCACAATTTTTTAGATTTGGCCATTATATATTATTTCTGAATTTTGGTAAAAATTTTATAAAAATCGGACTACTATATCTTATAGCTGCCATAGGAACGATAGGGAAAGTAAAAGAAAAAATTATAACTTCGTTGTTTTTCAACGTATTTTCATCTTATTTGAAACATGAGCTTCTGGTATTATTTCAAAATTTTGGTATAAATTTAATGAAAATCGGACTACTATATCTTATAGCTGCCATAGGAACGATAGGGAAAACGATAGAAAAAATTATAACTTCGTTGTTTTTCAACGTATTTTCATCTACTTTGAGACATGAGCATTTAGTATTATTTCAGAATTTTGGTAACGATATTATGAAAATCGGAGAACTATATGATATAGCTGCCATAGAAGTGATCCGTAGATGTAGAGAAAATGAAAAGCTGGGAATGTAAACTGTAACTGTCAAACTGTAAACATAATAAGTATAGGTAAAATGTTATGAAACTCCGTTTAGTGTCTGTTTTCGGCATTATAATTTATAATATAAATATGAAAACCAATCTGCAAGGGTATACAAACTTCGGCGTGCCGAAGTTAGCTTCCTTTCTTGTTGATATTCTATAATAGACTAATGGCGTCTGGGGGCTTTGAATAGATTTCACCCTGCTGAACTTGTTTTTGTTTGACACGATTTACTGGGATTTTGATTGATGGAAATATTTATTCTAAGGAATTAATATTAATCGTTTTTAAAAATTCAACATTAAAAAGATAAGCCATATTTAAGGAAATTCCCCTGAAATTTTATTAAATAAATATATATTTTCAGTATTAGTTTCTCTTAAATACCGCATTCCTTTGTTATCCATGTTTTTTTTTTTTTTTATCACAACTGCTTACAATTAATACTCAATATAGCACGATGTGTTTAACCAACCATATCGGCAAATATATATATATTTGCCATATTCCTTGAATTCCTTTTCGAATGTGAATTTTATTTATAAACTCAATGCCACCGATACCAATTAAAAAGCGATTTAAATACACATTATTTTGTGTGTTTCCAAACATCATTTTGGGTCATTTTACAAAACACGTTTCGGGGGAGATTAAGGAAGTCATAAATAAACATCAGTTCTGTCGAAGCTCTTTGAGGTCTGTCTTCCCACTATTGTTAACCATACATATTTCCTCCGTTCCCATAGATTTGTGTCATTCACTAAAATGTCACACAATTGCTTTTCAGAGCCGCGACTCCCATGACTCAAAGCCACATAAATTGCCATATACAATACGCATAAGTTTGTATATACATACATATATGTATTCTTATGCTTGTTTGCTTATTTATGTACATATTGCCTGTATATACATACATATATGCTTCTATATATTTATACATAATTATCTGACTTGACTGACTGTGGCTTCATTTTTATTTTTATCACTTCAATTTCCGTTCGCTTACAAGCCAACCCAGAAATGTGATTTTGTATCCACATATTGTCCTTGTTGTTGTTGCTTTTTTACCCCCCTAAAAAGCTTTTCAGATCCATCGTACGCACGTTCTTCGCTTCTCCATTCAAAGTTTATTTTATTTCTTCTTTTTTTTTTTTTGCTGTGCTAATATCGCAAATTGACAATAGAACGTCAATAAATGGACCGGCTTTTCAACCTCATCCTCCCTCGGTTTTTTTTTTTTTTGTAAACTTTTTTCTTTGTTTACCGATTTTGTTTTGAAAGAAAAATACAACTTGAAAGCTAAAAAAAAATTAACATAACATAAGGTGCCTGCTTCCCATCTATGACGTCAAGCAATTGAACCCATAGATACAGCAGCATTAGCGGCGCATCCTGTGATATCTACCTGTGCACCGCTCCAGGTAATTAGGAGAATTGGTCCCGGACAAAAATTTTACGACCGGCAATACCAGGGAAACACCCATAAAAATTGGGAACCTCTTGACATTTGCCAGAAGAACAAAACGGAATGGGAATAAAAATGAAAATGAGCGAAGGTGGGGAGGTAAAGGAAGCGTGAAAATCCAGTGTCACCTTTTAAAGGATTTCATTGTTGTTCTTGTTGTTGAAGGGCCCGGCTTTGTCCAACGATTTTCCTTAATGATCTCAAAATGGTAAATGAATTCCTCGACCTCAAGTGAAAACATTTTGAATGGAAAAATTTCGGATCAACCACCCGACTTTTATGGCATTTATTTTGCAAGAACTCAATAAAACGCATTTTCGGAATTTAGGCGAATATAATTTCTATAATTATTCCGACTTTACTTCAATGTTTTTCAAAGTGGTACATGAATCATTAAATTTTTAGTGCATTTCCATAATTGTTAATTGCCAAAAATGACTCACGAAAATGTATTTACGTTGCAATAAACTTCCTGTGGCATTTTCCAATCTCGATCAAATCGATTTCACAACTTTGCTGAAATCCAAAATTCCGGTTTATCTTATCATTTTGTTTGGGTTGGGTTTATTTGTATATAAATGGCATGGAAATGCATGGAAAGCAGCTGTGACGTACTTTAAACTCTGTATCTGTATCTATATCTTTATGTTTCTTTTGGGGGGAAAATATCTATAAGATATGCTTCGACTGCAAATGTCACAGGAAGTTTGGATTGCAATTTAAACGGAATTGTGGCACGCTTGGAATTGTAGAAAAAAGGGGAACGGTAGTACAACTTATAACACATTAAAGAAATATTTAACAAAGGTTTTTATTATTCAGAATTATAAGTTACATATACAATATGTTTAGGGTTTTTGCCTTTCTAGTGAAACATTCTTTACGCAGATGAAGGAAATTCTTGTCATTTTCTTTATTTTTCTTTTCTATTTAGGATTATAATCGGCTTACAATTTATATAATCCTGGGGTTATCGAGTTTCCTTGGGGAAACTGCTTCACCTGGAGCTCCAGCACGTGTAGGACATATAACTCTCGTTTTGGGTGGTTCTTCTTTTATTGTCCAACCTAATCCGCCAATTAGTTTTCAGCACATCGTCAAAGTTTATGGGACAAGTTTTCGTCTCAAAACCTGGCTTTGCGGTTCCAATTTGATTTTGTTTTAGTGAATGCATATTTCATTTTTCCCTCGAATCATACGAATAAATTACCTACAAGAACCGGCGAGATTTATTCGACAATTAAAATTTAAATTTCTCGAGATGTAAATTGATGCAAATGAGGGACCGGGAACACCCAAAAAAAAAAGCGTTGTTTTTCGACCACAAAGTTCAGCGGCTCGCATATCGCTGGCGCCATAAATGTTGCTTACCTTGCTCGAGAAAGTAGCTGACCTTGACGGAATTCGGAATGGGAGTTCCGAATCTGGACGAGGCTTATCATTATTTCTGGCTAGAAAGCAGGGGAGGATCGGCAACGGTTCCATGTCTAATTACGCACATGCGGAGTGCATTGACCAAGTTCGGGAATCGGCGTATCGTAATGGCCATATCAAATCGGCCATTGACTATGTTGACATGGCATGCTAT